TGCTATGAATGGTAAGAGAGATGTTGGAATCGGAGCATAAGTGGAACCTTATAGTGGGTAGAGGTGATTCGAAAATGCCACTTGCTTGGTTAGCATAAAGCGCCAGTTACACCTTTAAAAATAGGTTAGGGGTACCAGTACTTACACAAGTACTGATGATAAGTTTATTGACTGGCGTCGCTGATTGGCGTTGATATCGGAAATCGGCCGACGTTAAATAAGTGATTGATTGTTTTTCAATTTAAATAAAATTTACCATGAATAAAATTTTAGACAAATAAATATTCACAGTCGACAACGTCCGAGTGCAATTTTAAGTAGTATCATATTAATTTCAAGATGCAAGTACAGCGAAACAAACTTAATTATTTAGTTATTATTAAGCCTGGCCAAGGTCATTAATCCTACAGAGACGTACTGGGTAGGCATCATATCATAATACTTGAATAAGTACAATAATAAAAACAAAAATATTTTATATATTGTGATGTATGTTTTTGTACTATTTCGTTCGCTTTAAATTCTTTTTTTATGTATTTCCTTATATTTTGTAAGCTTAGTGCTGCACATTATTATTAAACTGTTAAATGACGTTCACACATGTACATTGTATATCTAAGTGATAACTAATAATTAATAAATAAATAAATAAAATAAATGGAAATAAATTTTATTAATACTGGTACACTTTATAAAAATATGTACAAAACTCACCTTCTTAAGCAGATTTATGAAGTAGCTTGGTTGTCGTTATCACAAACTGGAGCACTTCTATAATAACTGTGTAGTATCAGATATGTTTCTACAGTTGTCTCAGTAAGCGATGTTCGCTGTGGTGAAAAAATATGTTTGTATTTTGAAAAAGACCGTTCGACATCTATGGAAGTAATACAGGCATAAGTAAAACACTCTGTGAACTCACTTAACGCAGCTGTAGATGCACCATCACAAATTTGTCTTATTTGGTAAAATTAGGATCTTTCCGTAATACACTCGAATTTTTCAATAACGGGCTTATTTTTTTACGTCATTTATAGTCTGTAGCTGTGTACTTACGTCGTCCACTATTTGCAGCGATTCCACTAACGACAACGAAGTATTTTGCAATTTTTCTATTGCGTCGTGTAGTCCTCTATAATTGTGATAAATAGTTTTTAAATCAGTTTCAAGGGATGCATCTTGAAAGCTTGTCTGGCTTTCCTTAATAGCTGTAGCCTCGTTAGGGTTGAACTGTAGTATCACAGCTTTTATTTGTTGAAAATATTCAGCATAATAAAAAGCTGCCTTCAACCACGTTCCCCAACGTGTAGGAGTCGGCTCTGGTGGTTCCGGAATACCAGGACAGTGTGTGAAATGCTCGAAGCCGTTTAGGAGATTTGAGAAATACTTTTTTTGTATTTGCTATTAATGCATCTACCTCTGGAAAACATTTTCGAATCGTTTCTGCTACAAGATGGAACGCATTTACTTTACACGTAACATGTAAAAACCTACAATTGTCTCTTTGAAGAAAACAGCCCACCAAACGCATTTTCGCAGCACCGTCGGTCACAAACATCAACACTTGACAGTTCAAATTTTTCGAAAGTCTCCAACACCACCCGCATAATTGTTTCGCTAGTACACGCAGTTAGTCTTTTGCTAGCTAATAAAATTGGAAATGTTGATTTAACAGGGTCGAGTACTATAACATTTAAAATAGAATTTTTTTTACAATCTGTCGTCTCATCAACACATAACCACAGCCGTGTATTTTTTAATGCACATTTAATCCTATTTACAATACCTTCACGAACACTTGGTACATATCTACGTAACGATGAACGACTTGGTAAATTCACCTGGGGATTGTATTTAATCCAGAACTCCCGAAACGCTGGTTTATCCAATATGCGCAGGGGATCATCACAGGCAATCAGCATTAACAGTAAATCAAACATAAACTGAGGTTCCAAAGAAGACACTCCATTTTTTTATTTTTATGCCGGTTACTATTGACATGAATTTTGTAGCAGTATTTATTCCAGCACATTAAGTCTTGATCACAAACTTTACAAATTATTTTACATCCATCATAGAATAAATCCGGAAATTTACCGATAAATGTATTCACTTTATAAGCGTACGGTCGTTTTCTACTCTTTACGCTCAACATTATTTATTATTTATTAGTACTCTATATATCGACCGACAGATAACAACTGAAGTGTGTCGTGTCATCGTCATCGTAAACAAGCGCGCGATGGCATTGATATTGCGCCCGACCCTGAATCTACCATCGCTTGGCCAGGCTCAGTTATTATATATAATTTGAATTACCTTGTAATCTATTATTGTGTATTAAGCTTCTTAGATGCAAAAATAAACATATTTAAATTGATTATTTAATATGATTAACATGAAAGAAGTGTTATTTACTGTATTTAATTTTTAGTACAAATTAAAATATTTCAGTTATTTTTTTTCAATGTTGATTTATAATCAATTAACCGACAGTAATTTTAGCCAGCAGACACAAACCAAGAAGAGAGGAAATGGATTCAAAGGGCATATATAATTTGATGAGTATCCAACGAAGCGACAGCAACCGTCACTAACGTCATCTCATTACACTGTTTGCTAAGCCATTGAAGTTTGCTTAAGATTAAGAGACCTTCTAAGATTGGTTGTAATACTCCCCAGTCCTTGTCTCCAAGACAATATTATCTACACTGTTAAGTTATGTTTAAACTCGGGGAGAAGGAACCCCATGTTTGTTTTGCTTAAGCCGACTGAAAACGATCTTATTAAGCCAAACAATGCGTTTATATGCACATTTAAATACACCATATCTTTTTATTTAATCCACCCAAACTCTTTAACGTGCAGCCTGGACGTTTCTTTGCACTCTGGTTATTTATTATGAATTATTAATTGCACTCAATTTCGCCCAAATTTTACATTAATCAATTAAGTGCCGAAGTAAGCACACTTTGGTTTTTGCCGACCATCTCTTTTAATATATAGTAAAAAGAGATAGTCAGGCTAGTCATGAAATAAAAATATAGGTACATGAAATAAATATTTGCTATGCGCCTGCTAAATTACCGAAGTAATCCTTTTAAATCGACGATGTGTAGATAAAATGTATAAGACCTTTAGTTTGTTGAGTAATTAGAATCTCATCTTAATGAAAATTTCATTAATTTAGAAGTAATTTCCACAAACTTTTCCACTCGACTTTCCTTTCGTCAAGCAAGTTATCATTATATGGCAATGAGTAAAACTAAGTTTTTAAGTATGCCTGTTATATCTAATCTAATCAATCTAATATTCGGGATAGTTCTCTTGTTAGTATCTAGCTATATATTAATTGTTACATTCAAAATCTATCCTATAATTGTATCCAAAAATATGCTGGGCAACTTTTATATTTCAGATACACCATGTGCTTCTTAAATCATGTTTAAATGGATCGTTTTATTTGCCCGACATAGTTTTGATTACAATCCTGAATAAAATTCATAAATTCCTTCAAACCTCAAAGCAGATCAAAACCGTTCTTCAGCTCGTATTATTGTTCTTGTTAATGAAATCACTGGAATTAATTAGTGAAAAAGTAACTTGTGTATTTTTTCAGTCATCAATTCAAATCAGTATTTGTGAACGGTGGCGGCGCGACGGTAAACTATCACATTTTGATAGTAAATTTTAGTCAAACAAATCTTTATCACTATCTTCTTTATCTACAGCTCAAAAGAGTTTTATCTGCTTTTACAATACACGTTAGTTTTTAGGTTCCATTTTCAAAAAGAGATTAAAAAAACGTTAAGTTTAATTTCCGATATTCGATCAGTGAAGTTAAGCAGCACTGATCGAGTCCGGCAATTGGATGGATGAACGATAGCTCGTCTAACAGTCGGTAGGCTGTCAACAGACAATACAGGCGGAGAGGCGAGCCCGGGTGGAGGGTCGAAGAGACCTACCCAGGAGGTTTGCCACTCTGCTAGCGGTGCAGGCGGGCAGGCCCGGGCGGTGGGTTAGTTGACACTCGAAGACCGTGGTTCGGAGTCCACGCTAAACTGTAGGTCCCTAGGTAAAAGGGCCCATTGTGGCCTACTTGCCTAGTAAAATAAGTAGCTACTACCATGCCGAATAGAAATAAGTATCCATCGACGCTCCTTGCCTATGCTGCTCACATGAAGGAATCATACGAAAATATAAAATATTTTCTGTGAGGCGATTTTTCATCAAAGATGTCCTGGTCACTGGATTGGAAGGAGATGCCTGTGAGATCGCTAGACTTATCTCCCTTGGATTTTTTTTATGAGGGCATTTAAAGAGTAAAATTTACGAAACTCTACTCAATTCTTTAGAAGATTTTCGGTCACGTATCATGCACAAATGCCGTCAAAATACTCCAAAAATGCTGCAGCATGTCCGACAACATATTGAACAAAGGCTTTGAGTATGGAAATGACGAATAAGTAATCTATTTTATTAGGTACTAACTCTTTCGAACGTAATTTATCGGCAAGTAATATACCAGCTTTTAAAAGTAAAATGCTATTGTAAAGAGATTTTAACAGGCTTAAAATGATGTGTCACTTGATCCTCTTGCGTTTTTGAAATTTATAATAATAAAACATGATAACAAATATATATATATATATATATATATATATATATATATATATATATATATATATATATATATATATATATATATGTATATATATATATATATATATTTTCTACTTTATTCCTTTCTCTAAATACTGGTTATATATGTATAGTTTGTTCTTTGGATCCTTGCGCGTGTATCAAATTAGATACAACCTGCTCGTGTACTCATATATTACAGCAATGCATTTATAGTATTCACAAATACAATGATTAAAATTAAAACACCACAGATAATACAACTCCTTGTATCCCTCAAGCGCTACACATTTAGAGACAATGGACAAACACTAAATGTCCGAATATGTTAGGATTAATTTCTGGTTTAGAAAAAATTCTAGCTCCTCGACCAGGGATCGAACCCGGGACTCCAGGATGAGAGGCAAGTAAGTATATTTACCACTCGACCACGAAGCCACACATGTAAATATATATAAATGAAACGTTGTCCAGTACCCGCTATTGCTCAAAGGTAGAGTTGACCTTTCTATTTATTTTTGATTATTTGATTCATACGGCTATAAATTGAGATGCGCAAGATCCAAACAAGAAACTTTAAGTAAATCCAATATAACTTCAACTACGTTTTTTCATAAATTCAACTTTTGAAATAAAACTTCTTTAAAACAATATTGACTGTGGTTGTCACTTTTGTACGAAATGAGAGTAATTAAGTTAAATTTTGCACGTAATTGAAACCCAAGAAAACTTTTTGATTGGCTTTGTAATTATGGCATCAATTTTAATTGGCAGCTTTAAGGAACGTCTCGTCGCGTAGGCAAACCCCGGTCTCGGTCTTTAGATTTACCCTTGCGTCCTTGTAATTGCTGCCAGGGATTAAGTAATAGATGATTTCTAAATTATTCATTTTAATTTGAAGATCCTTTGCAAGGGTCTGAATTATAAAATATATCACATATCAGATTCTACGATATGTCAACATGTTTATCGATAAAACTTTTATACATAAATAAATATTACTTATTGTTTTATTTATACCAAAATATTAATTAATAACGCAAAAAATTTTCCTGTGCATTAAAAAGTAATAAATTTTATTTATTTAAAACTGGGGTTAACAACATATACTGATTTGAATAAAAACAGCAACACCTAATATTAGTTAAGTAATTTATTTGTAATTTTTACAGAAAAGTACTTCAATGTAACAAAGAATTGATTAAATTTTCAATAGGAAACAATAACAAATAAAAGAATATATTTAACAATGAGTTGCCCCACCGTGATTGTTTATGTATTTATTTTTTCGGTGAGGTGCACTTTGTATTAGATGATCAATGTCGCCTTGTATGGGTATGGTTGTATCATTTCAAACTTCTTATATGTATACGAAGCTGATGATCATTGACACTGTCTGGGAGGAGGGGTATATTACCGAGTCTGGTACTGATCATATATCAGACTTCTGGCAGCTGGCGATGATCAGGTAGAGCTGAGGGTCAACAGTTGCTGGACTGACCAAGAGAGAAATCTCCATCTCTGACCTAAAGGTGAGAAAAGCAACATACCAGCTAGGTTGGAAAGGAAATAAACTCTCACACTTCCTAGTAGGGAGGAGTGCAGTGAAAGGAGAATTGACTTCTCTGGTGTGCTACACAGACGGTTCTCGTGTTACCACCAGACCATCTTCTGTGGCGGAAATATATCTGGAAGATAGAGGAGTGCACGAGAGCTTTGCTCTGGGATCATACACCACGGTCTTCCAGGTAGCGGTTTACGCCATGCTAGCGGTGGTATGTACGTATGAGGTAAGGAACGGTGCGAAACAGATGGTATGATTACTAGGCTGCTCTATAAGCGGTGTGCTCCCCAGGACGAGATTAACTCTCGTTTAGGAGTGCGGTAACGCCTTAGAAGAGCGTGCCAGGCATAAACAAGTAAAACTAGTATGGGTCCCAGGACATACCGGTGTTCCAGGCAACGAGAAAGTCGATGAGTTGGCTAGACTTGGAGCCGACGAGCCTGTTTCGGGCCTGAGACTATATATTACAAGAAGACAGGTCACGACCGCAATAAGTGGAGCTACATGACACTGAGGAAGCATTGGAGAACCAACAGGGCTGTGGGAAAAATCGAGATTTTGTGACAATTTGAGATCGACCTGTTTACTGGGCCGGAGTCGAAAGACTTTGAATATTTTAATCGAAGTTCTAACAGGCCTTGCAGACTTATAAGACATCTATCATTGATACGTGTTGAGGAAGACTCTACATGTCTAGAATTCGGGAGTGGTGAAGAAACTTATCATCACTTCCTTGACAGTGTGAAGCGTTCGGGCGCCTAAGTTATAGCACCTTTGATACCGAGGCGCTTTTAAGGGAGGTGATGAGCTCCCTTGCACCTTCATTAGAAGATCGGAAGGATTCGACGAGACAGCAAGAGAAGTACATGGCTGAGGGGGACGCCTGGGGTGGAAAAAGGGCCCGCCTATAGCCTACTAGGCAGGCGTCAGCCTTTCCCGCCATGGCTGTCACTCTTTGTCCTAAAGTTTTCATCTAGTCATTTCCCACAGCTCGTGTTGTTGAAAACCTGTCTCTTAAAGCCAATCTTCTCATATGATGTACTTCACAATCCTATGATGTCCGGATCCGCGGCAGCCCTCATGCGGACCTTCTTCAGATCACTTTAATCAACATCTTAACATAGTTATCACGTTAGATTTACGTGGTTGACAATTTCCCTAAGTGAAAATCAGACCTCTCTCATACCAATGGTTCCGACCATGTTCAAAGTCACTTAACTGTCGATAATTTTGAAGTTGTCGAACTCTAGTCATTGTGGATAATTTTTTGCGACAAAAATATAAACACAGAACTGAATTGTACACCTTTTTCCCATAAAAACCAGCAAAAATCAAGATGGCGTTAGAGCTTTTTTGTTGAAGTTTTAATCATTTCCATGTTACATTGAAGTACCTGTTCTGTAAAAATTTGAAATAAATTGTTTAACTAATATTATATGTTATTCAAATCAGTATATTTTGTTCTAAAAGTGTATAAAATATACTTTACCATAAAATGTAAATATGGACAGGTTTTAGCAAAGACGCCGATAATCCAATAAAATACTTGATAGATCATGTTCATTAGCATCATTTTGCGGTGACAAAGGGATGCATTTATATAAATATGTGTATAAGTGTATTTTTTTTACGGGAAATGTTTATAAGGTCGTCTTCTCAAGAGTTCACTTGCGGATATCCTATTCTTTTATTATTATTAATAATGGTCATTAACAAATTATTTAATGACTAATAAATATTCCTAAAATAAGCAATAGAAAACAATAGGACAATAATATCTTTTATTTATATTTAGAAAACATATTTAATAACTGAAATGTATATTTCCATTATTTAAAATGAAAAGAATTATAATTTATGATGGATATTAGCAACAGGATATCACGATCAAATGATTAAATTAATATTCTTTTTGTTTCAGGGTAATTTTTAGGTAATAATTACATAAAGAACTATTATATGTTGAAATTGTTTAGTTCGAATCACTACGTGACATAATTCTTAGTGCATTATATATATATATATATATATATATATATATATATATATATATATATATATATATATATATATATATATATATATATATATATATATATATATATATATATATATATATATGTATATATAACATATACCGGGTGTAACAGGATCATGGTACACCCCTAAAGGAGAAAAGTCTTCAGATTTGAAGATAATTGATTGAAATTTGGAATATCCTATATTTGACATTCAAGTGATTTTTAAATAGAACACCCTTTCGATTTTTAAATAGAACACCCTGTATATTATTGCATTTTTTGGAATCTGCATAATTTTCTAAATCCAACGATACCAAATAAGTGACATTTCAAACGTCAATATTTCTTATAATTTTTAGTTTTCCATGTAAGTGTGCCATGACGGTTGCGATTTATTCTAAATGACCCGTGTAATGCTAGAAAAATCGAAAATACTAAATTACGTGATTTATGAGCAAATAAAGTTCATCAAAATGGTGTTTGGGGAAAAACTCAATTTTTTTAAATGGAACCATATTATTAGAATTAGTACTATTAATAAGGAATTTATTCATATGTAGTATTAAAATGTGCGATCAATACAAACAAAATTACAGCTAAAAGAAAATAAGAAAATACAATTTTGTTCTAATTAAATGTTAAGAAGTAACTAACTAAGGTGGCTTTGAAAGCAATGAAATATTTAGCTTGTCAAACATTTGTTGGTTTACCGGTGTTTTTATTTTGTCTTTAAAAATTGTTTAAAATTCTTGTTAATTGTATTCAAAATGCCGCAAATTTATACAAGAGATGAAGAAGTGGACATGTTATTTATTTATGGGGAATGTAGAAAAAATGCCGGTGCGGCTAGATGCCTCTATGCCGAACGATATTCTGATAGACAATATCCAGCGAGAAATTATTTTAATCGTCTTGAAAATCAATTCCGAAGTGAGCCCAACAATGATCCTGACGAAAATGTCATTCTTGACAAAGGAACGGAAATTAATGTTTTGACTCGAGTAGAAATTGATAAGACTGTTTCTTTAAGGCAAATTGGGTTTGAATTGGAAATCAGTCACCAAACAGTAAGCCGAATTTTGCACAAATACCACTATAAATCTTTTAAATACCAGCACTTGTACGAACATGATTACGAACGTAGGATGGAATATTGCAATTGGATTTTGCAGAATAACGTGCAGCCAAACAATGATTTCATTTTCGGACGAGTCTAGGTTTACAAATTTGGGATTATTTAACCGACAAAATACAAAATATTGGTCACAAGAGAATCAAAATTTATTACGGGAGGGTAACTTTCAAGTGCGGTTCGGTTTCAATGTTTGGCTTGGAATAATCGGTAAGAGAATCATTGGTCCAATAATATTTGATGGACCCCTGACTGGTGCTAGATGCTTGGGATTTCTGTAAAATGAAATTGAGGACAGTTTAGCTGAATTACCTTTCCATTTACGACAGGGAATGTTTTTCCAACAAGATGACGCTCCTCCCCATAATTCAAGGATAGTAATTGATTACCTTCAACGGAGATTCGGAGTAAACGTAATTTCGACGAATGGTTCTGTGAGGTGGCCTCCAAGGTCACCTGATTTAACACCCCTTGATTTCTTTGTCTGGGGTCATTAAAAAAATTTTGTCTATGCAACTGCCGCGCGCCGTTACAACCCGTGAGGACCTGGAGCTACGAGTAAGACGCGCAATTAATAGCATAACGGCCCAGCAATTGGCGAACGTTTTTCGAGAAACAGCTATGCGAGTTCAGAAATTAAGACAGGAAGAATATTATATACTATAAATCTAGTTGTCACTGAATTTGTTGATATTATTCATATGTGCGCTAGTTGATTATG